TACCAAGTACTGATCTTTCACCTCTTCCAACATCTTTCTTTTCCTGAAATAGAATTGGATATTTACTCAGAATAATATTCGACTCATAATTAGTGGGTCCAGACCGATATTGATAGGGCCGAGCCACTTCCACCTCCTCAGGTAATGATGAATTCAATGCATAAACCAAATCTCTCAGAGGATGAGAATACTCGCTATCTTCATAAACTTCATTCAGGCAGACAATGTCGAAATTGTTTTTATGCAAATATTTGTATAATTCGGTGAGGTTACTCCTTCCGTATGCAGTGGAGAAGTGATGAACATTGAAGGAACAACAGGAGAGTAAATTGTTGGATTCTGGAGGTGGTGGAGATGAAGTTTGATCGAGAGACATTTTTTTGATAGAAGAAATCGGAACATGGTTGAATGTAATAATATTAGAGTGTATTAGTACGTGGTTTACAAATTAGTATTTAAATATTGTTAAATATTAGACTTCCGGAAAAAGTTTTGCTAAAAGTCGACTTTTTTAAGGTACTTTCACGCTAATTTGCAAAAAGGCGCCTAAAAGGTGCCTAAAAGGTGCCTTTTTTACCTAAAAACTACTTGAAACACATCCAAAGTTTGTTCAAGAAAATCTTGAGCAACTTTCAAACTGTTTTCAAACAATTCCTCAAGAATGATTAATTATTTCTCAACCAAATTCTCAAAACGCTCAAGTATTTGCTGAAAAAACCCCAAGGGCCCTCAAACTTCTGAACTCACTCTCTTTCTTAACTATATCCTTTTCCAAAAAATCCACCAATTCCTTAAGAGATCCAAGGTTTTTGAATGTCACCATCTCGGGTCACTGTAGTTTTGATGGATTTTTTTACATCAATCACGAAATCTTTCGAAAGCTCTGGTCTTTTGGGCTCCTCAACTTTTCTTGGCATGATGATTGTTTTCTTTTTGATAAGGTTCAGGTTTTTTCTCTTTCTGGGTGGAGTGATGTTCAAATCAGATCTCTTCCTCTTCTGGATTTTTTCTTGTTTCACACTTTTTTCTTGTTCCTGTTTCATGCTTAATTCAGAATATGGTGTTTCATTAAGATTTTCTTCCACTTCCTCAACATCTTCCGTTCCATCAACAATAGAATCAGCAAGATTAGGGAACCTTTCAACTTCAGCAAATGCAGTAAAGAAAAGGTTGACATCAGGAAAAAGAAAGTTTCAATAAATATGCAGGAAAGGTTTAAACATTTCTTGAATTATGCTCAAACAAATTTCAAAAATTGCTCAAACATTTTTCAAACCACTTTTTTAAAAAGGCGCCTTTTTATTTCTTTTTGACTTTTCCGGAAGTCTATTTGTAATCTTTAATATTTAATCAATAATAATTAATAATATTTAATATTATTTAAAAAAAAATGGCAATCACTAAAGTCATCATACCTATTGCAGGTCACGGCACGAGAATGTTTCCTGCATCAAAAGTCATGCCAAAGGCTCTCTTTCCAATCCTTGATCCGAAAGATAAACTTTGCAAGCCTATTTTATTAATAATTATTGAACATGCAGTGGAGGCGCTACTTGCAGAACAACCACAAATCGGATGGGATGATATTCAAGTTTGTATTGTCATGCAGGAAAATCAGAGGAGTATTATAGAGGAATTTTTCAATGCGCCTTGTGCTTTTTCTATGGAAGGAAAAGCAAAGGAAATTCAAGATTCGATGAGAATGATTGAGAAAATTTCAAAAACTCTGACTTTTATTGTACAGGAGGAACAACTTGGATTTGGACATGCATTGTTGTGTTGTGCTGATAAATTCATTAAGGAGAATGAGGCATTTATTGTCTTGTTGGGAGATCATATCTATACATCGAGGACTCAAAGTGGAAAAAGTTGTTTGCAGTATGCTGTTAGAGCTTTTAACAAGTTCAATAAGGCTATTGTCACATTGGATACCATTTCAGAAAAACATACGTATGCAAATGGTGTGCTAAAGATTGGACAAGTATTGGAGAAGGAGAGTGAGGTTGTTTATACGTCCATTCTGACTACTATTGAGAAACCGAACAAGATTCAATGTGAAAATCACAATCTCTATATAACAGAGGAGGAGTTACAAATGCTTGAAGTGGAGAGAACATGTAAGAATGAAAATGATGTTGTCTGCTATTTTGGCATTGACATTTTAACCTATGAAGTGTTTACCCATTTGAGAGAAAATTGGAAATGTGGAAAACTTCATAATGGTGAACTTAATTTAAGAGAAGCTATGTGTCCCACTATTGAACGTGGAGATATGGTTGGTGTTTTTGTTAGAGATGCTTCACGGCACGATACAGGATTACCATTTGAGTATTGGCAATCACTACAAGATTTTTACAATAATATCAAGAATAAATAGATCTAATTTATTTAGGAGATTTTCTATTATGCCAAAGATTGGGTTCTGTAGCATTAAAACCAGAAACGATTATGTCTACCTGTGTGGCCAGAAACAAGTAGGTAAGGGAAATAAATTTATAACACATTAAACTCAATTTTTGAAGTAAGTTTTACTAGTTGAAAAGGTTATTATAAACGTCATCAGAAGTTTCACCATCAAACAAATCTAAATTTTCTTGGTGATTGACCACTTCTTTTGCATCTTCGAATTGTTCAATGTAAAGTTGCTTGTGTGCAATTGTATCTTGTGGATTCAAAGTACATTTGAGATCGCAATTTTCCTTATTAAGACGATTGATCTGTTGGAACAGTTCTTGGATATTGTTAAAGTGAGCAAGAGCCATTTCAGAAATTTTAACATTGTAATGTTGATGGGTAGAAGCAACGGTATTGTCTCTGTCTTCTATTATGCCTTCCAATCGAATAATTTTGGCTATGAGATCTTCTTGAGACATTTGGGCAAGTTCAGCTGGGCGGGATTTATATACTACCTTTGGCTGAGAAAGAGGTTGACTATTTTCATGTGGAATAGGATTATTTTGAATGGTTGTGCTTGCTGATTGCAAGCTATTAGTGTTTGAATTATTTGCAAAAGCAAGGTCAAGTTGAGACACCAAATCAGTACTGGCTGCGTCTATTCCAGAAGATGAAGCTTCTCCTGGTTGACTATTGCGCTTTACTTTCTTTCTGGATTCAGAGGGATCAAGCTTTTCATTGGTAACTGGATAAACCTTTGTACAAACCAATAACTGCAATATTTCCTTGTTATCTTTCGTACAAATCCATAAAATCAATCGACATTTTTCACACTTCTTCATCACGCTATGAATTGTCTTGCAACTCTTAATGTCCAAGGAACCAGAAGATTTCTTAATATCTGTATCTCCAATAATCTTACAAACTTTGTCTTTTTGACTCTCATCAACACCAAACAAGAATATTTCCAAATTATCAATGTCTCCATATTGTGAAATTCCACTTTTTTTAGACAAGGCAAGTTTTCTTCTTCTCAAAGACACTCTATTTTGATCATTCTCAAATTCTTCAGTCTCAACCAAATTCGTCTTCATGATGATGTCTTCATAGATATCCTGAATAAAGGTTGCCATGTCCTTGTCTCTCTTCGGAGGACTTGTTGGTTTCTTCTCTGCAGGAATATCATCTAAAATATTGCAAAAGGTANATTCGTTCCTTCTCCACAAGCG